ACATAGTTCTTTCTGGATGGCAGGAAACAGAATTCCTCACAGATTCTAACAGATCTAACAGATTCTAACTGTTTGTTTAACTCTTAACCTGTTGAATGTAAGGATATTTTTAAGGTCAGTGGCCAATTCTTCATGTAAGAAAATCAATCGTACTGACAGATTTCACTCAATAACTTTTCTGAACTAAATAATCAAAAAACACTGAAATTCAGTACCTTCGATAAACGTTGAAGTAAAACTATTCAAACTCCTTTGTGACTCACAACTTGGCTGTCGAAGCACAAAGCGAAAGTTCAGAAGCTCTGCCAGGGTCAGAGCCTTTTGTAGGAGTCCCTTTGATTCCTAATATCATCGCGGAAGGGCTTCCTGGCCTGGATAGAAATGAAAGGGGAGTGAAAACGGGGGGATCAAATAGTACAGAGGTTTGTTTTGTTCTTTTCTCTATATCTGCTGAAGGTTCCCAGCTGATGCAGCTTGCTGTTTAATCTCTGCTGGCTCAACAGCTCAGTCGATGGCCAGAATAAAAGCATTCGATCCAGAGATGCATCAAAAGCAGGCAGGAAGTTGCAGAGCCACTCAACACAATGTGAAATAATAAAAGACTAAAGGGGGGGAAATGACAAGAAAGAGAATGACAGGGTAATAACCACTGTATTTAGCATTAGTTCCATTCTCTTTAGATCCATCCACGTGCACCACTGATGGTGCAAGAAACCCCAGAGAGGGATATGCTGTCAAAACAGTGACTCAAAGAGAAAAGGCTATGCCCTGATGACTAATGGTGACAAATGAACCAACCCTTAGTTCCAGCAACAAGTTGCTTGAACAGAACTTCTTTTACTGGGATCCAACGTAATTGTGAAGACATTTGTTGACATTAGTGGTGGTCACAGTGTAAAACTGACTCAACCAGTTAGCTTGATGAGAAAAGAACATTTCCCAACCTTCACTTCATTGTGTTTGTACGTCATAATAATAATACAATATGTATCTGTGCTTTGGGGCCTTTCACCTCTTCAAGGCCAAGTTGGTTTTTACCCCTATTAGTTACTGCATTTTTAAAATTTGTTAACTTTCGCTGTGCAGCCCCTTTAGTTCAACCCAGCAGTTGGACCCAGCAGACCTTTTTACCACAGAAAAAACGTTTCCCATGTGTCACACATTTGGGCATCAAACCGAGAGCCATAACTACATGTTCATAGCCCCTGTAAAACGTTAGGATTCAACCTTTTTTTTTTACATTCAAATTTGTGAGATTCCTGAACACCATGGAGACCCGGCCCAGTGTGGTTCACATGGTTTGTTTGTTATTCTAGCTGCATGTACAGCAGATAAATAACCCGGTAATTATTGCATTTCGGTGATAACAAATAACTACAAATTATGAAAGGAATGCAGTCTGACCAGCCTGGAGGGTAATAAGCTCTCAGTGTGTCCACTTTCAGTCTTTGGATTTCACAGACGTCCTTCTTGAATTGTTTACAGAAGCGTCCAAAGGGTGTTGCTCTAAATCTCAGCTGAGTCATTTAAGACTGCAGAGGTGGCCATTGTTGACCTTCAATATTTGCACTGAGAGAAAGAGTTTCAAGTGTCTCTTTTCTACGGTTGAATACGTTGGTTCCCAAGAGCAACGAGGTTTCATGAGGCTCTCCAGGAGGGACTCTCACGCTTGGCAGAAAGCCAGCACTGCTCCCTCCAGACTCTTTCTTTTCAAAACGGATGTTTTCCTGATGTGAAATCGAAGAAGGCTTCCTGTGATGATGTAATGAGGATTATTTGCTTAGTCTGGCATTAGACACTTACTCTATGCGATGTTGGAGATCTAATTCAACATCAGGCTTCGGGCAACCTCAAGGTTTAGGCAGAATCTGTCCCGGATGAAAAAGGATATTCATATAGTGGGACAGACATTAGGTTTCCCATGACTGCACAGCCTCCCAGCGCGGAGCGCTTTTTCCCGTGGCAATACGATTAGGCTGATAGAGAGGCTCTAATGTGCCACATCCACCACACGACGAACGCAGAAATGCACAGTTTATTTTTAAACTCTCACGGAAATCTTAAAGTTAATTAAAAAGTTTGTTTATCCTCAAACCGATGCTTCCCATCTAAGGGGTCCATTTTTGGACTCTCATTTGTTCGATCCCCCTGAACCGCCGTGCAGAAACCCATATCTCGTTCCCTCATTTGGTAGCATGGTGACAGTTTTCCAGATACCACGTAGTATCGCTTACCGCTCACCATCCCGCTCAGGTCCGACCTCAGTGTCTAATTTGCTAATAGATCCCTGCTGGAAACTGCTGTCTCGACTGTGCGACAGCGCAATTACTGGTGCACAAGTGAGATGACTGAGGACGAACCAGTGGGATGAATAAATCATTGTTTTGTCCTCTGCTCTGTAATTCAGGGGACAGCAGCTGCTTTTCTTTTGTTTGCTCTGCACAAGCCTGGATGTCACTGACCCTCAGAACAGTTGGCTGTAATTGCAGACAGGAGAATATGGAAAAAGTCTGGTTTTAATTGACTGTAATGTAAACTGGAAGATTTTATCTGCTCTTGATAATTCCCTCACACATTTGCCTAATTCATAATGACACAAACACACACAAAAGAAACATAAGACAATACCTTGGTAAATTTCTCCATAGATAATTCCCTTCTTTCAAGACAGCACTTGTGTCCACCAACAAAACTTTGTGACAATTATTCCCTTTCACACGAAAGAAATTTACATTTTAAAGCCACTGAAATACTCAAAAGAAGGCTGCTGTTCATGTGTAGTGTACCATGTAAGACTCAGGAATTTTGACTCATACCTATTACAACACAAGCTCACAGAACCTGTTCCGTATGTCCAATTATTTCAAGGCCAGTAGCTGCAGTCTCAACGTTTACCTCCAAGACATATTAGTCAGTCAATGCATAGTTACATTTGTTTGAACATGACATTTGGGGAAGTTAGGAGAACTTTTTTTTTTCGTGTGTTTTAACTGAAGTGCTGACAAGCAGAGCATGCTGCCATTCACTGGGCTTTTTGTTTCGCTGGTTTGGTTCAACTTGACATGGGGCTTAAGTTTTCCAAAGCCTCTGGGAGGTGGAGATAAGGAAAGGAAGCATAAAAACCAAATAAAGCTGCTTTTCTCTCTGGCTGAGACAAGTCGCAAGTATGCATTACTTGCTACAGTCTGTCAGGGCCAAAGAGAACTTTAAAAATTGTCATTGGTGGCTAATCTTATCTTTAAGACTTCAGAAATATGGGGAAAGCATCACCTGTTTGGAAAACACCCACCACAAGCCACCATGACGTCACCAGCTCCAAATAAAATGAAATCTGTTTGTCTGGCAGCTGTATGGACGGAGTGAGTTGTAGTTTAACCGTGTATACATTCTGAAGATGAAGTCTGTCTCTCTGACTTACAAATGCACATGGACTCTCATCCCTTTGCTAACCAAAGCAAAGCTGAGCTGTTCATTTTTACCGTAATGACTTTCCCAGCATAGCCTGTCTGGAACTTCAGTTATCGCCTGGAAGACAAGAGGAAGTGAGGCGGATTGCAAATGAAACAGTTCTACACAGTTGGTATTCCAAGCTCAGGCCTGACTTCTTCTTACTGAGGATGGATATTTGCAAAATGACGCGGCCCGATCATTCTCCTGATAAGCCCTTGCTAATACGTGCCGCCATTCTTGAAAATGATAGCTTTGCCATCTAAAATATCCCCCCAAAAGCCACTCTTTGTTAAAAGCTTGGGGAATTTAAAATTAAATATCCATTAGCCAAATTTAGAACACAGTGGGTGTGAATTAGGATGGTTAATTTACTATGCCACATTACAAAGGGCACCACAACTTCTGACTTCATTATTTGAGAGATCGTATTTCCCTGGAGTCAAATAAAAAAAAAACAGAAAGCTCCATAACGTTTTTTCCATCTCATTAAGGCCTCATAATGAGGTTCATTTCGAAAAACTGATGACAGCCCAAAAACCCTGAGAATAAACAAACATCACACAATATATGGAGAGAAGAAAAGCACAATATATTATTTCCTTTCGGGGACAAACTTAATGGCAATCAATAAAAAAGTTCAAAAGCACGTGTCATAAGAAACATGAATCAACATAAAGAGCACAACGCTGAAAAACAAAAACACAAAAACATTCTCGTACAGTAACTGGGAGCTCTTTGGAAATCTTTTCCACAACAGAATGAAAACGTGCCCCCCAAGCAAACATGTGTTCCGCACATGCCCTCCATCAACATCGCTCCCATCTGGCCATGGAGCCATGTTGCACTCAGGCTTCAGCGATCTCGAAGACAATCGCATTTCTTTGGTTTTCAGTCGAGCGGCTGTCCTTTGAACACGCTGCTAATCTCTCACGACGGCGTGCTCCGGCCTCCGCTAATGCCGGGCAGGGCGGGGCTTATGAACTCCCACTGGCAGAATAAATCAATTAGAATCTAAACACTTGAAGTAGGTACTGCACAAATTTTGGCACAGAAGCAAATTGCACTTGCTGTGACACTTAAACTAATCACTTCACTGATTGAGTCCCGCAGCATGAAATGTCCAATTTTCCAAATGGTGTTTAAATCCAAATCCATTCCTCTATGGGCGTTTGTGGCTGACGGATCGTGTTCTATTATAGTTGACGTTGCTGTTTTTGTTCACCCCGTCCTAATTACTTTCTGGCTATCGAGGTATCACACACAAAAAAAAAAAAAATTGTATATAAAAAAGGAGGAACTAATTGAGATGTTTCATGTGACATTAATGGTTTAGGTTTGTGGTTAAAATCACGTATAAGACAAGTTTAACACTGCCAAACATGGTGGTTTGTGTTAAAATGTGAGAAAAGGACGCGTGACGGGGATAAGAAAGAACAGAAACTGGAGTTAAGACTGAAGAGCCCTTTTTAGACTCTACACAAAACTTTTATCAAATGGTGGGGGTGAGCCAAGTGGTCTCTGTGACCACCAGGTTTTGGCTTTTTCCATCATTATCCAAAGCAGAGATATTCACCCGGTTCCACTCGGACTTTCAGAGGGGATTTGGTGAAGCCGTCACTGTCAATTACAGACTTATCCACGAAACAGTCAGCGTCCGTGGGCGACGGGGAGTCCGGGAGGTCCTCTGCTAGAGTGTCCAGGTAGCTGCCCACGGACAGACTGTCCAGGCCGTCGCTGTTCCCGTCGCTCAGGCTGTGGAAGCTGCCCCGCAGGGAGGCGCCGTCCTGGCTGTCCGACAGGCTGTACAGGCTGCCCGCCAGGCTGCCCTCCTGGCTGGCGATGCCCCCTTTGTCTTCCATCACCCAGCGGATGGACTCGATGCCCTCGTTGATGGACATGAGCTGCTGCATCAGCTTCACGTCGATGGCCCTCAGATTCGCCTGTGATGCAGGGGTAAATGATTAATCGTCAACTCGACAACAGAAGGACAGACATTAAAAATCTGCGCAATCAACACCTAGCTGCATCAGGCTGGTCTGTCCTCATTACGAAATTGCTGTTGGTCTCCCCCTTTCTGACCCCACATATTGTTTTGAATACGTCTATGTCTCTTTGAATGTATCTGAAAATGACAGCCCCCCCCCCGATTTGACTCAAATAGAAAATAGTTAGCTCAAATGATGCTATAGGCTAGTAGTTTCACAGTTCGTTCTAGACCTCTGAATGAGGTCTAGAACACAAAATCATGGCCGTTTTTTGTCCAAGCAGAATATTTTTGTTGTCTCATGGCCTGAACACTGAGAGAGTTTTGTTTAGTCTATCAGTCTCTGTCACGCTCTGATAAGTATGCGGCACCGACGAGGCCACGTCACAGACAGGAGACGCTTTTCCTTCTTCCTTTCAGGAGAATGAATGGTACGCCTGCTCGCACAGTGCGGCCATTGATGAAAGTTCAGGCCATGACAGACCGTGCCATTGAGTGTGGGTGGAAGTGCCCGGGCTTTGGAGTCGTTCAGAGGGATTCCCCCGCGCCTGCAGAGTGACAGCCAGCCCGAGTGAAAAATGGCAAACAGGCAGCTGGAACATCCTGCCACAGCCATAACACACCGAGGCAGCTGCTTTGACACACAGCCTTTCCTGACCACCTATTCTCTGGCTGTGTTTGCTCTGTGAACACTACTGCCCACTCTTTACAAACATAAAGCACAAGCAGATGGAGGTCTTATGTTTGCAGGATGGAACCATTTGGTCTGAAAAAAAAATATTCGGAAACTTAATTAGAGCTTTGATCTAGCCCTTTTTTTTTAAATTGTGTCAATTGCTGAAAGGCAGCGGAGAATCAGCTACTATAATAATACAAGTAAAGATTCTGCAATTGTGTCCTTGTGTGTACAAGACTTGTACAAAGAAAAATAAAAGCCGGTCCGGATCACTTATCAAACTAAAAGGAGTTGTAAAGAAATGGGAGACAGCGAAGGCCCAATTTTGCACCGATCTTCAAATAGATCTGATCTGCAATGTATACTTTTTAATTTTTCTAATGTAATTATAGTTAAAAGACAGCAAAAGCTGACAGTAGGATCAACATAAGCCTGTTGAGAAGCAGGGGGGAAATCAGCCAGCTAGAAGCCTCATAAAAGGTCCCCCACACCACAATAAATCTAATCCTATCAACACAGGTCTGACGGCCGGTCAGTCTGCTGACCACATACGGCCCTATTTCAGGCTGCAAAACCCGGTCACCCACACCATCTGCTCAGGACTCCTAATACCTTTCGTGATCTTACTGATTCAAAAGATGTCTGCTGTCCACCAGAGCTCTAATCTAACCTGGTGCATTTAAAAAAGCAATTTTCTGACATAAGCCCTTGCATTGTGGAAAAAGGATTTTACAGTAAGAGCAGTTCCATGAAAGTTCATAGTTTCATAGTCTGAGCTCCATGTTGTGAGAAGATGTGAACGTTGGCAGCTTTAACAATCATTGTGCATTTAACAGCCACGCGTTTTCTGTCTGACAGATTTTTCATGAATTACACTACAATGATTTTCCCAACAGACACACTGAGATAGTAGGAGGTTGTGATCTCGTCAGTAAGTTTTGACAGATGATAGGAAAAACAAAAGTGACAGCGTGATTTTACTGTTAAACCCCTTAGAATATAAAGTCAAAGAAACTACAACTTTGAACTCCGCGCATTCTCTGGAGAAAAAAAACAACTGAAGAAGCACGCTTACCATTTCTTGCCTCAGAATGAGCATTTTGCTCTCCAGTCTTTGCAAATCCGCCGAACTGGTGCAACATTTACACGCCGACAGATGAGCCGCTGTCGACTGTTTTCCGTCCGCGAGAGACCGAACGAGGCTGTCGGGAACTTTCCGACCCAACTTTGTCTCTATATCCCTGAAGTCCGGCGGGACGCTGCTGCCCGGCTCCATCGTGGACGCGCACAGAAATGCTGACCGTTGGCACCGTGAAACAGAGGAAGGAAAGTACGCACGGAGATGTTCCGGTCCGTTGGCCCGGTGGAGACGCGCGCAAAAGTCTTATTCAAAGTCGGGTGTAAAGTATGGGGAAAAGAAGCGGCGCAGGGCGCGCGCGCACTGACCGCAGAGCCTGAGCCACTGACCGCAGAGCACTGGTCACCTCCAGCCTGAGCCAGTGTCCCTCTGGTGCACGTTTAAGCTCCTGGCTACGAGCAGGCCGGTTTAAGTGACAGCCCGCTCCCCGTGGACCCTCCTCTCCCCGATAAGGAGTTCCCTCTGGAACCAGAAACCAGGCAGGTGAGAGGTGTGGAAAAACGTTTCCGAGGGAGGTTTTTCGAGACGCACGAAACGGGAGCAGTTTGTAGTCTAAACAAGATTATGTTGTCTGGTAACTCTTGTGCGTTTATTGTTTCTGTGTTGGTGTTTTAAAACAAAGCATAAGGAGAGGAAATAAACGAAGACCAACAATGTGAGACAAATGTGTCCAATCTGTAAGTTTGATGTCTGTTTCATTTTAAGATTAGTATTCTGTTAAGAACCAACATCAGCATAATGCACACAAAGTCAACACTGTCACGTAGAAAGTATAAACACAAACTGCCATTATTAATAATTAAAAACATGTTTGTTTTAATTTCGAATTAAAAAAACAGACAAAAGTAAATGAAGACACTCGACTTTTGGCTACACTTCTTCTGAATCACGACCTCCATTTATTTGAGTTTTTATTCATTTGCAGCATTTCAATTCAAATGCAACAGGCAAGCACACCTCTGACTAAATGCTGTTCAAATTCAGAAATTAAAACTACTGCACCCCCTTGTGGGCACTGCTGCTACCTTACAAGGGGAGTGTGTTTTCTGTCTATTGCTGTGTCCATTTACATGGCCTTTTTCTATACGTGTATGTGTGTGTGTATTGTAAAATCAAATAATAATCTTATTTCTAAGGCCACATCCCAGTTTGTTGCATACCCTCCACTTTCTATACACTACATTGAGATGATCCTCATAATCTTTATAGTCTTACTTTAATAAATTGGAGTAATCTTTACCTTCCCATTGAGAAAAATGGTAGAAAATGTAAAATAGTATTTCATTGAACATTCTGTACCATTTATGTATGAGCTGTATTATTATTTTTTCTAATCTTGGGACAAGTGACCAACAAAAAGGCTTGTTTCCAGTGAAAACCGACACGGACCAAACAAGAGTTTTGAAATTGAAAGAGAACAGGCACGTCAGGGTGGCTCATGTCAGAGCAGGGTTTCAGACTACGGACTGGCTTTTGTCATCGTCATACCGCTGGTATTGATCGCTGAGCAGAGGCTGGTGGCCCTCCATCTTGTAAGACCTGGCCCGCACGGCGCATGTTGTGGCAGCGAAAATGACTGCCACGACAACAAGGGCAGCTACTATTGCAATGGTTATTATTTCAGTCAGAGTGAAAGCTTGGCCTGGAGAAGAAGTCAAAAATTATTATTACTTCAAACACTCCAATTGACTTAAAGGGAAGAATGAAAGAAAAATAATACAAAATGGATGACGTCGGGGGTAAAAAGTGTCCATACCTGGCCATTCAGCTTCATAAGAGTATCCCAGATTTTCGGGGGCAGTGACAAACATCTCAGAGTTCGTCACCGGAGGCCAGAAGGGCACCATATTGTACCCTCTGTTGTGACCGATGGGGGCATTTTCTTCCGGATAAACGGCCAGATCTGTTGGAGGCAATTGAAAACTTACTGAGAACAATAACAGATAATAAAGACGTCAAAAAAAAGAAGGGGCGACAGTGGAAGCAAACAGCTTTCAAAGCTGAAGTGGTCGCTAGAACACCTGGGCCGTGCCTCCTCAACCACTCGTCAAATATTGCGTCGGTGAAAGTGTGGAGCAGGACGAAGATGGGGTCATTGGGGGAGAGGTGAGTCTGTCCTCCTGTTCCATTCAGAAACAAATGGGCCAGGTTGTGGAGGCTCCTCACGATGGGGTCATAGTTCCCCTTGGGGGCGCTGTAGCCTGTCATCACAACAAGAAAAGGCATTAAAGGGAGTGGAATGGAACCGTAAAAACACTGACAGATGGACACGTTTCCCATGTCTCACCTTCGATGGTGTTTCTGAAGCTTTCGGAGGAGGTGGAGTAGAATGGCGGCGTGTCGAAAGTGTTAACCTGCAGACAGTCGGCCACGTCCTGGGGCTCTGGCAGACGTTGGACCATGGGTCTGTTGACGTTCCCTGCGGGGTTTCTTCTAATAGGAGAGGTTTCTGAGCCTAAAGGCGATGGAAACAAAATCATAAAGGTATGAAATATATGTTTGGTCTTGGGAAGAATAAAAAAAGATACCTGTCATATAGCCTGTCCCTACTCTCTAATATAACTGTTTCTGTCAGCACGCTGCTGTCGGAATTCTTGTCTTACTGTTGCAGATGGTCCCCAGTGTGTCATAGTCTTCAACACTCTCACAGACAACCCTCCACTGGGAAAAGATGGAGTTGGAACTCAGGGAATTCATGTCAAAACTGCTCCTGGCTCCCATCAGGTCATCTGTGCAGATGTCACATGTGCTCCCACCCATGGCAAAGTTCCAGTAGGGCAGGGCGAAGGAGGGGTCTTGCAGCATGTCCTAGTTGATGGGTAAAGATGTGCAGAGTAAAAACAGGCACTAGGCTTTGGCAGATGAGTGGCACATAAACAAAAAATACCTTGTTCAGGTATAGTAAAAATGTGCACATTATTATCATCATTTTGCCAACTAAACTGTCTATAAATGTAAATCTTCCCTCAAAAACGGCCAGAAACAAACATACTGTAATGCATGTATGAATACATTCAGATTTGAAATCTATTCAAAACGAACTCTCACTCAAACTCTGTCAGGGTTCCAGCTTTAGACAAAGGCACCTAATTAGAGAGCTCAGCACAAATATGCACTGGATAAGGCTGGGATTTCTCAGCAGGAGTCTTACACTGTGCCAGAGTTTCAAATCCACGTGTCAACCTAATTTATTTTTCCTAACTTTCACCCACTGAATGAATATAAAAACCCATCTCGACCCTACCTATTAATAACATTCCCCACTCATATGATTACTACACTCAATGAGCACGTTTGTTGTCTCCAAATGGATGGGTTGCAAATCAGATATAAAACGTTTGGTGTCACATTCGGTACGCCTTTAAAGCGTAACACTGCGGGGTGAATTATGATTTCCTCGCCAATACAGTTGTGGGAAAACCAATTAGGTAAAACAAACAGGACAGTCGAAAAGGGACAAAGAGCCCATTGCTGTCATGGAGGATGAGATGCCTGAATGAAAAATGTCATTAGGCAGTTTGGTAACAACAGGAATAGCTCATTTGAATGTTTAAGTGATTTGAAAAGAAATTATAGACAGAAAACCCTAATGGAATCACCTGCATGTCCCTCTCCAGCTGGAGCAGGTGGAACCTGTGCCAAGTGACGAAACCTGGGCCTTCGTGGGAGAAGTCCACGCCCCCAAAACTGCTCTGCCCCGCGCCCAGGAACGTCTTGCTGACCGAGTAATAGTGGGACCAAACGAAGTAGTTGTAGACGGTGACGTTTTCGAACTGCATGGTGTTCCCGTCGGGGCCGAAGATGTCCGAGTAGTGACGCGTCGCGATCACGAGCTCAGGGTGCACGGTGCGCTTAGCCTGGTCCAGCGCGCTCACGAACGCGCGCTTCTCGTCCGTGCTGAGCTGCATCACGTTTCTTCTTACTGGGGGATTACAACGGGAATGAAAAAGTAAAGTCAAACACAAGGCCAAGTTAGGATCAGTGGGACTAATCGAGTGGAAGTACAAATCACAAGTCTGCTGTGCGTAACGGTATTGGTTTTGTTTCATTCTACGAACGAAAGCTTAAATGCCTCTGAAGAATTCATCCTGCCAAACTGACACATTTGAATGATATATCTTTAAATGCCATAACTTTAGAAATCCGGAAGACGCGCACTTACCGACAGAAACTCTCTGATCACAGTTGGCCCCCGTCCACCCGTGTCTGCACCGGCCGCAGTTGTAGCCGCTGAAGTTTCCGTTGCACTGGCAGGTGCGGTTGAAGAACCGGATGGGCCATCTCTCCCGATCGTCCCGCCCGTCGTGAGGGTACTGCGGCCCGTGCGGGCGCGCGTCCACCGACACGGACCGACACTGTCCGCGCCCCGCGCCGGAGCCGCAAGGGTCGTCAGCGAGTCCGGGGGGCGACGGACAGCACTGTCCACTCCTGAGTCCCTCTGGTGTGACGCACTCTCTGGGGAACTGAGCGCTCACAGCGCACGAGCCCACGAGCACCAAAAAACAGCACTTCCACATCCTCCAAACGGGTTGGCAAACTTTACGCACAGCTGATGTGGCCTTCTGAAAAATGACCCGCAGTACACTTTTTGGTTAACTTTTGTCAAATCTAAACTGGCGTCACTTCAACACATCAGGGTTTCTCAGCCAGATGAGTACGAGTGACCCCTCTCCACGCGCCCATTCAAGACCCACTCTCTCTCTCTTTCCCCCCCAAACCAGGGCTGACCTTAAATACCGGATTAGCGCATGACTACCAGGATTTTCTGACTCCCGCGTGATTCCCTCACATAACATCATATTTCCTACTGGAGGGAAAGAAGGTAGTGTGATCGGTCATGCACAGTATTGTTCTCTTAAAAAGGCTGTGGGTGCATGTGGATGCCAATTGAAAAAAAGGAGAAAAAAAGCAAACTGAACCTGAAAGAAATTTGTTGGGAATCTTGAAAAAACCAAAAACAGTAGTTATTAAGACTAATATCTAACCCTAACCCTAAGTTAAATAAAACAAAACATTAGGCCAGTATCATGAAACATTTCTCAACACATATTGAATGCAAATGTCTAGAAATAGAGCTATTTACATGTTAGTGTTCTTTTTTTTTGGTCTTTTGACTTCGTTAGAAGGTCCTTCTCTCTGTTCTCCATTTCGGCTCTGTTGAGTTCTTGAGCATGTGAGACATGGAAATATGAGTGGCATTTCTAAATTCCTGTAGGAATGTTAAATTCCTTTTGCCATTTGCGAACTGACGTGGATCTGCATTCAGTAGACTCATATGATCAGGTGTACACATACTTAAACTGTCTTGGAAATTATTTTGAGATTAAAAATAGATTAGATTAGAATGGATTCAAAATAACATATTTTCAAAGAAATGGCAGAACATTGCTGTTATTAAACTCTTTTTCAAACATGGTTTGCTGCTTATTTCCGTGCTCTGTTTTTGCAACATTCATTGGAGAATCTTCTTCTAACTCATAAAGAACTTGACGTCCAGATCTTTGATATCTCAATAAATGGTCAATGACAAAGTTTTTAAAATTCTTTGTGCTCCCACTCTGATTTTAAGTTAGAAATAATGCCTATGTTGTCAAACTGAAAGCAATATTCTGAAGAATTCTCCTAATCTAGGGCATGAGCAGCAGGGTAGGAGCTTTCAAAGACATCCAGAGATTCATGCTCTTCCTTTAGCTGGCTGCACACTTTTCCCGGAACTACATAGAGGGCACAGGGTCATTGTTAATCGTTAGATATAATTTAGGACACGTAATATCAGCAAACCTTCAGGGATCAACATTCTCTAATTAGCATCCAGATTCTATGCAGTTGCACATCAAATGATGGTGATGGTGAGATCTTCCCGGAGAGGAGGGAAAAAACATCAATGTGATGGTTGGAGCTTTGAATAACAACAATGAGTTTCACTTTACAGACTTAAACTCTTTGTAAAAAGTAGGAAGGGTCTGAGTACCATTATTTATTTTGCTTTTATTCAACTTTTACTTTCCTCTTTGTGTTACCGTTAACTGTTTGACTGGGACCAGGCAACAAAAATACCAGTGTAGTAATGGGAAAAAGATAATCCTTTGAGGGGTCCTCCTCAATTCAGGGGTTTTCACCTTCCAATAGCCGACCATTATTGGGCTTTTTTAACTAAAACAAGCTCTGCTCATCTAATACGCCAAGGGCATCCTTTTTCACATTTTAGGTTTTGAAAAATTCTTGACACACATTCTCAATGAGGATTATTTCCTACCTGTAATCATTAATCAAATGTAATATCTGTCAAATTCCGATGGGTAAAAGAACCAATCATCGCACAGAAATACTCTAATTTGTCTTTTCTGTAACCTTAATTTTCCATAACCTTTTTTAAAATTAAATAACAAACGAAACAAAACAACAAAAAACTCACACGGCCATCTAGGATGTTGAAAACGGCAGCCGTTCCCTAAGAAGACTTTTACTGCAGCAATTCTGTAGTCTGAAAAACAACGTTTCTAAACCCAGTCATGTGTTCTACGTTGGCTATCAGTCTCAATGTATCATTTCATAATTGGAGCGTGATGGGCAGGATTATGTAAAGCTAGCACTAAGCTCATTCTCATGTATTTGAAAATAGAGCCACATTCCTTATGCATGTGTGGTTCCCATGTTCCCCCGGAGAACTGTAAGGAAGCCTGATGGGCAAGGTTGTCAGATCCATTTAAATGTAATGTCGGCATCGTCAGAATATTTAAAATGTTAACATTAAGCCCTCTCCATTTGGTCTTTCAAAGCCCAAAAAAATTGTCAAAATCTTTGCAAATGAAACATTATGAGATAACGATCAATACAACAGTGCACAAAGGAAATAACTGTAACTCTGTGCACAGCCAATAAACTTGTGGGCCACCATTGTTTAAAATCTGGCTGGCTCACTCCTGTGTGGATGCCCTGTGTGTACACGTCTCATCTGGTTGTCCCGTGACCGCTGCTCAGCCGACCTCCGTCTCATCCCCACACCCGTGTGCGCTCACATCTTTTCCTGTGTGTGAATAAACCTGGAGCGGGATGGAAGATCATGTGAGAAGATGTGACTCGGGCTTAATGGTAATCCTTGCTTTTGGTGAAAATGGCACAGTGGGAATCATTAGCAGGGAGCTCTGTGTGAGCAGTTCATATGACTGTCTGCCTCTTTGTCTCTCTTCTCCCTTTCTATCTTCTTGGAAAATACCTGAAACTTCTTGTCAGTCGCCCTCTCAGAACAGGTTGTCTTCAGGCCACTTAATTCACTTTTTCAATTCACTACATGTCCTGCAAAACTTAAATAGGCAGCAAATCTTATTCTTCAATTTTGTTTTTTAGTTCAGTTTTGCACAACTGCTTGGGAAGTCAAGAGGCTTGTTTTATTCCAACACTACCCTTCGGTTTCTTGAAGAGGACTTAGTCATTTCTTGGTATTTCATGTATTTTTTTATGATCATGTACAGAATGTCAAAAGGAAAAAACTAAGAAAACTAAATAAAATGAATTATATTTTGAATCAGTAGGTGATTTGAAACTGCATGCATGGCTAAAACAAAGCATCACATTGTATGACCAAAACAAACTATCTAAATAAGTGTCTAACGGTAATGTGCACACTAAATATTATTCTTGAGTTGTGGTTTACCAAATAATTAACATGTGTATTTAAGTAAGGAAGATGTTCTTAAAGATTTGCTCAACATTTGGTTCACTAGTCAAAAAAGAAAAGATTAAAGTGAAGTATGATCCATGCACACAATGAAAAAACCTCCTGACCAAAGCCCTAGAGGTGGGTAATAGGAATGTGTGAATGTGTGTGTCTTATCTCGTTGCATGCAAGCATGCACAGCAAACTTCTTGTTTAACTTATTAAATTCCACACAAGTAATTAATTGTGTTTACCAACGACTGTAAGCAGAAAAACCGCCCTGTGGGTCCAGATCAATGGGAAATATGCATTTTTGTTTGGCCTGAAATCTCAAAGGGAAACCAGAATGAAAGCCAAAACCAATTTTGCCTGATGAAAAAAGGCAGCGCAGGTCTCTTTCCTCATACTGACAACACATCTTGTGTTCTTCTATTTGCAGTGGTCTTGACCATGATATTTTCTGCCAAAGAGAAATCAATTTGGGTCTATGAAGAGAGACAGAGAGAGAGAGAGAGAGAGAGAGAGAAAATCTTCTCACCATCTGTTGCTAGAATACAAATAAGCTGGGGAATAAGGGAATGCATTTCTACTGCAAAATGCCTGAGTGCTGGCGAAACAGCAGATAGTTTTGAGCTATTAAACACTTAAACCTCATTGTGTAATTCTGTGATAAGCACATTAACAAGCCACAACTTCAGATTCCAGCGCAATTTGCAGTCTGAAAGACAGAAGTGATCACTGGTGGAATTGGTCACATTAACTGAAACAATTTATCCGCTTGATTAAACAATAGCAAATCCATAAAACATAAACAAAATAAGAAAAGTTGCACGGCAAACTTTTCGAAACGCTAAACTCCACACTGTCAGTGTAGTGCAGCCCATCAACAGTAGAGGGCAGCGATGTCTCATGGAAAGATTTGCATGAGGCCATGCACCCACATGGCATTCCCAGTCGTTCTGGGTGGGGCTCAATGCGTTGCACTCATCATAAACACTGCAGACAGATGTATTTTCCATATTTTTCTTGACGTAGCTCCATACATATAAGAAAAGTTCCTTTTGGACAAAAAGTCAATTTTCGTACATAATCCCCACCCTAACTCAATGTTCGCAAGGAGTTCTCGATCTGAAATGGCCAGGATATAGAACAAAAATTAACAACTAATATTTACACCCCGCACTTTAGGTGTTAAAGAATGATATGTGACAGTGAGGTGTAAGTGGAAGGTGAGAGTGGAAGGTGCTAAAGCTCACAGCCTCCATCCATCAGAGGTATACCCAATTTATCTTGGGCAAGGTCACAGAGGCCTAGAGCCTGTCCCTGCTGACATTGGTGGAAATCACCGGTCCATCATAGGGCTAACAGACGGCCACGCATGCTCCCCCCCACACACCTACGGCCAAACAAGTTTAACAGACATGTCTTGAACACTAAAATGACTCAAGGAAACAGCCCATGGATCCCACACATAAAGGACTCAGCTGCTCAGGAAGGTTTGAATCCCGCGGTAACACACCCAACCACCACCCCGCCATGGGACCAGCACAAATACAGCACAAGCGTTTTAAATGTGAGCCAGAGCGAGAACTTCATTTGTTCCACCGATGAACTCCTCAGAATATAGTGCGAGCTCGAGGGAGACTGACACCCTGATGAATGCGAGGAGTTAGTCTCTCAAATGGGGTCATCCACAAATATCGAGATACTGTCTACTTAGCACATGCACCAGCATCTTAAATCTGCTACTTTCCTACGCCAAAGCACTTCAGGTGATTTACATAGCAATAACTTAAACAGCCAAGGTGCTGTGACCAGGACTTAGCAATAAAACACAGAGATCTACTACCCAGACTGCAGCTACCACTTGATTGCTTTTTAACAGTCATTAGTTGTGCAGCAACTCCATGAAAGTGCTTTTTTTTTGTCAATCTTTCGTGCCACTTCATGTTTCTTTCTGATGTAGAAAAATGAGGAAGTATATTGACAGGTACCATAAAGAGGAGTGGGGGTAATTCAAAAGGAGCCGGCGGTGCCTCAAATCATTGCACTCTGCAGCCGTAATTACTGAAGAACACTGTTGTTTTGCTCAGGGGGCAGGGAAGCTGTTGGGTTGGAGGGTTACGCAA